CATACGTAGAACAAGTACGAGTTTAGCGGATCGCAATCCGCTTACTCCAAGAGTACTTATCGCCTTAAATGATGGCTAATTAACTCTTCCGTTTAAATCCAAACTGACTTTATTTATTTTTATCTGCGGCAAAGCCGCCTAATTTTACAAGTATAAATTTTCCTAAATAGATATAGTAAAATCTAAATACATGCATAACTACTAGCTACACCGTATTCTTATTTGGGTGCTGTCACACCACGCCCATCTCGTGTGACACACACACCTTCCCAGTGTACGTGTAACCCCGTTACACTATTCCTCCACTTGGTGCTACCGATGCATTCACTCTTGTGTTACTCAAAATAGGCAGTTTGTTCGCTAGTTTTGCCGAAGTGCAACTCACTTATCCACATTTTTGTTGAACTCAATTCCTCTCTTTTTTCTATCATGGTTTGTAATTGTGCTTCGCATACATATGTACAGGTAAATATCTGTATACAGACTTGATTGTAAAATTTACGAAACTGATGATTTTACTGAAAAAAAAATATGTTTGGTACATCAAAGTGCATGCTTTTTGTGATCGAAAGGTAGGAATCCATCATGTCGGAAGGCTGTTGGGGCTGGTTCCTGCGCAACATACTGCGCCACGATGGCGAGTATATACCAATAAATGTGCGTAACCTTGTTTGGAATGATTAATCTTATGTAGTTTGTACCATACAAGACTACGCAAAAGTTAATTGAAGCCATTCTGATCATCTAAATCTTGGTGCAATGATTAATGCAATATAGAGTCGCGTGATCCACGTGTCATCGGAGTATCGATTTAGAGAAATCATTGAGTCAAGCAAGTGTCTCGTAATTGTATATTTCTCAACTCCACGGCTCAACAGATGCCGTCACATCAATACCGTGTTTCATGAGCTCAGCGTGACGTACCCAGAGACAAAATTCTTAAAAGTTGACGTCGATGAGCTCAAGAATGTATATGAAAGCTGTGACGTGGTGCAACTACCGACCTTTCAGTTTTACCGTCATGGTGATCAATGCGACGAAATGCGTGGCACAGATCGAAAGGAGCTCGAGATACGCATTCAAAGACACATGGTAGACGTGGAATTACTTGAGGAAGAGTGCGCTGATGTTGACAAAAAAAATCTGTCCAACAATGACACGGAAAGGATGCGGAAACACAAGCTCGAGGTGGAGATAGTGACGTCGGTAAAGCACTGGGAACATCTTCTGCAGCAGAATCAGAGATCCAGCAAGGTGGTACGTATCTATAATCATTTATTATTGTCCGCGATAGATATATACTGGGTTACCCGTTAAACTTGGTACAGTATTGTATTATGCCAATTTCGGCGATACCGTGTGCGGTACAACTTGTTTCACTCGCTCATGTCATTCATTTGTGGTGGTGCCTGATTATTGTAATGTCCTCTGCAGTTGATTGTTCAATTTTGGGCCACGTGGTGCAAGCCATGCAAGAATATCAAGCCTTTCTTTGAAGAGCTGAGAAATCGATTTCCAGCCGCTTTATTCGCATACGTGGATGTTGATGAGCTTGAGGTAAGTCAAATTTAATTTAACTAGACATTGAGTGTGTCGTCGCTAGGCAGATTACGGTGTCTTAGAATGCACTTTTTGACTGACAATGATGATGTGATATGGACGGGTTTTGTTGTCGTTGCGTTTCAGAGCGTAACCGAGGCATTCGATGTAACTTCGTTACCGTGTTTCAAGGTGTTTACGGAAGGCAAAGTGGTGGACGAAATGTGTGGAGCTATTTTCAGTGCCCTTGAAGATATGGTAACCAGGCACTGTGCGATCGTAACCTGCTGAAATGGTTATTCTTATACCCACTTATGTAAACAACAGACTGAAATGTCTCATTGAGGACGTAATATGTATGTACTGTACATGAAGGAAAAGTTAGTGACGACTAAACAAATAGAAAAAAAGTATGTGCAAGTTTTCTACAATTTACGATAATATTCCTTTGTGTGGAAATATAACCTGATATCGGGAAATGTTTCGCCAGTTTCAAAAACAAACTTTTCTGCCTCGTAGATTTTATGCTTACGTATACATGTCAAAAATGACTGGCTGATGTATATAAATGATGTTATGACGTTTTTACTCATTGATCTTTTGCTCAATTCTCATTTCTTTGTTTCAACTACAGATTGTAGACTTTGAATAGCATAAATGCAATTATTACGATTTTGCATGTATAGTGAAGTCATGTGTTACTTAATGAAATGTTCGTGACAATGAACATTGACGTCTATACCACGACGGTCATCGAAATTATCATTCTCTTGCACGGAGACGTACCATCTAAATTGTTGGATATTCATCACAATTGTTATATAATTCCTAAGTCTGATTCTGGCGCATGAAGAAGATTAATTTGAGAAACAAGTTATAACTTTCATTGAAGATCTTCTAGCTCACGGCTTTTACACAGGCTAGATTAGAAATAAATATACGCAGCTGCGACTTCTGGGCACAATACGGTGCTAGTAATGGGTGGATATGTCCTTACTAAAAGCGTGCTAATCCTGCCCGTCCCCCTAACTACCTATTACTGTTTGTATCTCATAAAACAGTACGTTCAGGATATTTGTACCTATCTAGAAATAGCAACATACTAGCATCTGCACCACGTGCAGTGTATTCATATAATTGGATGAGTACTGTAATCTCACTCACACTACTTGTTTTAATCAATTATAAAATGGATTGTTTGTATTAATTCTCGACAATTTCACGCGACAAGATCATTTTTACTCTATACAAAGTGTAATCTTTTACTGTACTTCTCTGGTACCTCTGCACCAGGTGTTACGGACTAGGGGCCAAGGCAAACGAATTGTATACTTTGCACTTAATCAAGACAAAGATTTGATATTCACTGCAAAGTGGCTACGTCGATTCAGCTGCGCGGTAGATTTAGACCAAAGGCCAGTATTGCTGATCTTTTTGGACCGGGTACATTACTCTCGTTGGTGGCCAATAGAAGAAATTGATTATGGCAATCACGATTCCGCAATCGTCCGAGAATCGATGACGCCTTTTTGAACCCTTTTTTGGCTTCGTGATCAAATTTTGCAAACTATCGATTCTAACAGATGGTCCTTTACTCTGTTTTGTAAAACCTCTTGCTTTCTATGTGCGATATGTATTTATATTACATATGCAGGTGAGGTACCCTAAAATTAAGCCAAAATCCCAAGCCCTTATGTCTAAAATGGCTGAGTCTCGTTCTCACTTCTGTTTTTAGCTTCGTGCCGCCAAGTACCGAGGAACCGACCGATCCCCGTTCACAAGTCGTCACAGCATCTACAATCGAACAGAAGCTCTCGATAGTCTTCAGACATATTTTACTGATAGTAATACACAGTGCTATTTGGAGATGCAATTCGTACGTCAGGTCCTGCTTGTAGGCTTTCTCACTGTCTCGACAACTTCTTCTATGGAAACAGAACAAGCGCAGTCCACTCATTTACGTGGTTTACTAGACAGGATCGTGCATACTGAGCCCACGACTACACCTGTACGCGTGTTAGCTGCTTCGTGGGAAGACGGTGAAATTGGCGTCACACGCAAGTTACGTCCTATTTTGGAGAAAATTGTGGGTGGTGAGACAGTGGTTATGTTTAACGACCGCCGTCTGGATCCCGCGGGAGAGATGGAATCAGCTGTTGTAAATTTTGACGTGCGATCGAGCCCGAACTGTGTTGTGAGTGTGTGCGGAGAGATGTCCAAGTGGTATTTAGGCGCAAAGGAAAAGTGCTTTGACTTGCGGATTGCGCCGAAATCTACAGATAAAGTGGAGAATGGGCTCATTCGTGGTGTATCAGCTGCCTACTCGGACTTGCGCCCAGTCGCCACCAATTTGTACCTCAAATTTGACGAAACCAACTATATTGACGGCTCCAAGTGCGAGTATGAGATTCTCTCGGGTAGCAAGATAGTACGTGAGGAAGTAATGGCTAGTAATTCCAAAGCTACGACGGCATAGATTCGCCTCATACTCATCTCTTACTGTAAAGAGCTGTACCATAGGATAGACCCACTAATATTAACTTTAAATGTCAAGTAGCGACGCTCATTTGTGTTAATTGTCAGACATTGTAACCACGCCGTTGGTTTCATGAGCTTACCAACCGCTTTGAACATACTGAAAAGATGTGAAGTCAACAAACGTAGTTCCAGCTCGCATGAGTAAAACATGCTTCAAGTGCTGCTAAATGCAAGAAAAAGTTGAGCTCAACATAACGACCGTAGAATTAAGCATAACTTTTGTAGTACTTTTGTCTTCTGTCAAAGCAACTGCATGTTGTAATCGCTGAAGGCTT